TTGCTGCTGCAGCTTGCTTCATGTTCTCCGCTGCTGCTCGATCCAACGACGAGAAAGTTCGTGCGAACGTGAGGCCTTCCAACCCTCCCCCCTTTCCTGCACCTCTCCCCATCACCTCCCCCTCACCTCCTCGTCTTGGTCTCTCCCCCCCAGTCTCTCCCTCACTTCTCCTTGTCTACTAGGTCACCAACAGCGGGGCTCCTCTCCTTATCGTCATGGCGCTGAAACATTTCAGTGAAGGTGATGGATACTCCCTCCTCTGCTCCCGCACCCCCTGCTCTCCTTCCTGCTCTTGTTCCTCCTTTGCTCCAGCTCTCGCTCCTCCCCTCCTCTCGCTCCCACTCATTCCTCATCTGCTTGCGCAGCTCAAGGAGACGTTCAGCCAGTCCTTCGACGGGTCGTGCATGCGCTGAGGATGGTAGGGACGAAGGGCGAATGTTGAGCTCTGACTAGGCGCACAGGCAAGGATCGAAGACCCAGGCACTGCTGGAGCCATCCGCTTGGCAGGTCTGACAAGGAGGAGGAGGGAGGGGAGGGAAAGGAAGGTGATGAGGATGAGGATGATGATGATGAGGATGAGGAGGAGGAGGAGGAGGAGAGGGGAGCGGGGTTGAGATTAGTGGATAGAAGAGTTTAGGAGGCAGGTGTAAGGGAGGAGGGTCGTGCTGGAAGGAGAGAGCTCCAGGAATTCTCATAAGCTGCAGGAGCGCCGGAGGCTCTGACGCGAGTGATGGAGAGGCACAGGGAAAACCTGATGCTGGTGAAGAATGCGAGGTGAGAGGAGGAGAGGAGATGAGAAGAAGGAGGGAAGATGAAGAGAGAGGAGAGAGCAGGGGAAAGGAAGGGAGGGGAGGGAGGTGGTGACGGGAAGGGGTTGGCAATGGTTGGAGGATGGAGAGGATGGAGAGGAGGGAGGAGGAGGAGGAGGGGGAATGAATCTGCGCACACTGCAGGGCAGCGTTGAGCGTGCTGGAGGAGCACCAGGTAGACTTGTAGTTGATATTCTTTTTCTTCCTCTCCATGTACAATAGAAAAACAAAACGAGAGGAGGCGGCCAGAGGAGGTCGTTACTTGCAGATGGGCTCGCATGCTTTCTTTCCCTGCGTCCCTCAACGTCAGATCTCCTCCTCTCCCTCCTCTTCAACGTACAATCTGCTCCGTTGCTGAGAAGTCGGAGAGAATACTGTCACACGATGTCAGAATGACCGTCTTCCTGCTGCTTCCTCCTCACCTTTCACGCAAAGCTTGCATCTGAGCTGCAATCTGTACACGTCCTCAGCCTTGGCAACCAGCGCCTCTCCGCCACCCCACTCCCCTTCCTCCTCCTTACCTGAGCTCTCTTCGCGGGAGAAAGACGTTTGGAAGAGCTTGAGCTACACAAGACAAGTCAGCCTGACAATCAACCGCCCTCCTTTCAAATCCCTCCCCATCCCATTCGCTCCGTCCCCGACCTCATTCCCCATACCTTCCAAGGTTTGCTACTGCTCCAGGCGAGATGCCGGTGGAAGAGGAGGAGTCCGTCTGTGAGAGGTCTGTCTCCTGTCCTAAGCCACCGGGGACCTGCGCGGGGGACGGGGAACCCGAAGAGAAGATCTTCCATAGACTATCTCCTCCTCCTCCTCCTCCTACGCTGCTCGGGATGGAGCTCGCCCGCGTCTCCGTCACTCCCTGCTGTTCATCTCACTCACTTCCTTACCATAGCCACGTTCACGGGCGATGCCGGCCTCACCTGAGCAGCAGTACTGCTGGGGTATGTCGGGGGTGCGTACGGCTGGGGGTAGGAGTAAGCCTGCTGGGGGTAGGAGTAGGGCTGCTGCTGGGGGTAGGAGTAGGGCTGCTGGGGGTAGGAGTAGGCCGCCTGGGGCTGGGCATAAGGATAGTAGGCCGTTGGAGCTGCTGCCGTCAACGCGGGGTATCTTGGGGGGTACTGATAACCAGCAGGGGACGGGTAGGTGGCCGAAGCTGGGGCTGGGTAGCTCGGAGCGTAAGGGTAGGGAGCAGGAGCCTCAGGGTACTGGCCAGCTGCCGAGTAGGCGAACGCCTGCTGGTAGGGTGGAGGAGCCATGGGCTGCTGCTGGAGCACAAGAGTGAGCAGGAGGGGGAGCTGAGAGAAAGTGCGAACCGCCGGGTATGCCGGGTAGGGTGAAACGACTTGAGCAAGCTGCGGGGTCCTCGCCGGCCCGTTCCCAGCTGAGTCAAGAGCGTCCGGGCCCTTGGCAAGCAGTTCCCTAAGGACTCGTGAGCACTCGAAGGAGGGTTGGCAGCCACTCACCGGTCGTAGCTGGAGAGCATGCCCTCCGGGTTCCCCCCCTTCGACCCTCCTGTAGCATGGATGATGCCCGGGTTGCGGTGCTGTGCCTTCGCGTCAGCTCACTAGTTGGGACCGGGCAAAGACCACCTGAATCCTGCCTCTCGTCCTAACAGCCGTTGAAGATTGGGATGGACTGGACCACGGTCAAGACAGAGTAGAAGAAGAGCAACATGGAAGAAGGAGTGGAGACGAGCAAGGGGAAGGATATATTAGAAGGCGTGAACGAGCTTGGAAAGGATGATTACCCATGCTGATGACGCTCACGAAGACTTCGTCGTTCCTGAGGCTGTGAGCTTGTCAGACTTTCACAATAACAAGGCAGGTAGAGCCACCGTCAAAGCATTCTGAAGCACGTAGTTGTCCGTAGTGCCTTTGTTCTTGTGCATGAGCTAGGGCGATAGTCAGAGCAGTCAACCCATGGCGCCTCTGCATTCAGACCTGCTTGATCTTCGCAACTATCAAGTCATCGGTTTGATCTTGCAGACCCTTCTTCAACTGCTTCGCCTGCAGAAAAAGCAAAGGTGAGCTCAAGATAAGAAGGCTCTGTCTCGACCAACCTGGTATGACTCCATCTCCTGTACCGCTGCCACAAGGCCTCTTGTCGTGAGCTTGTGATTCTTGATCTCACTCTCGAGCGTCTGTGCGCGGTTTGTCTTCTTGGAGCTGAACTCGCGTCACGAACTAGATGGCAATGCAACACGGAGACGGAGCAACGTGAGCTCACCCTTTGAGTGACTTGAGGTAGTTGGATGCAGCGATGATCCCTGCCGGTCACGCTCAGAGGGGACGAGTGAGTGCATCTTGGTTCACCCTTGGCTGAGTTAGCCACTGGCATCCTTGTAAGCAGCGAGGTGTCAGGCGCAGCTGCGTCTCCGTTGTCCGAGGCTCCTTTACCATGCTGTGAGAGAATCAGCGAAGAGAGCAAGTGAAGGCTGAGAAGATTGTTACAGCAGTCGATGACTTGACCGCTTTCTGATGTTGCGCATGAAGCTTGGTGACCTGCGTGTCTTCATCAACTGTTGCATCAACCAACCAGCTTCACCTTCTTCAACGCCTCATACTTCTGCCTGGCGTCATGCAAGATGTTGTCTGCTTCATCGAGCTGGAGCACTTGAATAAGCTCTGGAAGGCGCAGGCGCAAGTGCATGCACAAACCTGACCCACAGTCGCATCCCCACGAGCCGATGGTATCTATAACCATGCAGGTCAAAGAGTAGTAGAGGAATTGTCTAGCAGTATACCCGCACATCATCCTTGTTCTTCGCCTTCCCCGTCTTGCTCTTGAAGTTCTCAGCTGACTTGCTCAACTGTAGACCCAGCAGTGAGCTCATTGAGGAGCTGGAGGAAACCAGCACGAACCAGAAACGTGCCGCTGTTGCTTGACGGTCGTGCACCCTCCCATTGCAGGAGGGCCACGACTGCAATGCAAGCCAGTAGGAAGAAAGCCAATGGAGCCTTTGAGTTCAGCTCAGACACTAGCATGTCATCCGGTGCCATCTCACCTTTGCCATCTTCACGACCATCTCTTCCCGTCCACTCAATCAGGGCAGCATGACTTCCCACAACTTGAAGCTCGTCAGATTACAATCGCTCCCCATTAGACATTTGACGCGAACATGGTCATGGCACTCATCTAGCAGTGTGACTTGCTAAGTGTTTTTCGCGAATGGAATGCAAAGATCTTAGTGCGCACTACACCTACACAACGGTTTATCTCGCTCTTCTACCTATGTCCTCGCCTCCTTCTTTTTTACCTATATCCTCACACTCGCATTCCTCTCCCCATTCCTTCCCTTTCTCTTTTTCTCCTCGCTTCTCTTGCTCCCCCGCGACCTCCCCCCTCCCCCCCCCTCGACACCCCAATCTGTCTCTGTCTCTGTCCAACCACCTGCCCTCTCCCCTTTCTCTCTTCTTTCTTCCTTTCTCGCTCCTCTCCATGATCCATTGTATCATTCCTCCTGATCTACGCATCTCTCTCTTCTCCATCTTCCCTCCCCCTCCTCTCCTCCTGTCCCTTCTTTCTCTCTTGTTCCCGCACAGCCTTGCCATCACGACGTGTCTCTTCATTAAGTAACGGAATATAACGGGTGTCTCCAAGACAGGGGGGCAGGCCGAGCCCGGGACTGGCCCAGGCCCGGCCCGGGCCGGGCCGGGCGGCACGGCCCGTGACGGTGGCCCGGGCCGCCGTGACACACCGGGTGCCAGTTGGCAGGATTGGGTTTGGTTCTCGCTGTCTTTTCTCTTCTCGCCGTTTGGCCAGTGCGACAGTGTCAGGGTCAAGCCTACGACTCTCAGGGCCGCCTGATTGTCCGTCCTCGTACTGATCGGATTTTTAACTCAGTTCTTCAAAGTACTGTACGGTAACAGAGTCACGGTGGCCCCGCCCGCGGCCCGGGCGCGGCGCCCGCCGGGTCACCGGGCCGGCGGCCGCCAGTCCGGGCCGCTCAGCGGCTCGGACCAGCCTGCCCGGGGCGGGCCCGGCCGGGTCAACCGTTGCCAGTGAGGGGTTTTGGTAACGACTGAGATTGGATGATGGTGCGGCCCCCGGGCCCCCCGGGGCGGCCGGCGGCGGCCCGGCCGTACAAGTGCGGCCGCGGCCCGGCAGAGTCACGGCGGCCCCGCGGCGGCGGCCCTGCAGTGCAGTGCGCCCGCCCCACCCGGGCCATAGCGGCACTCCGAGGCTCACTGACAGTACCGGCGTACGTTGCCAACGGTTGTCCGAGTCAGCCGGAGTGCCTCACTGTGCGGCCGGGCCTGCCGCCAGCCCGGAGTCACGGTTTGCCGCCGGGCCGGGCGGGCCGGCGCGGCGTCACTGAGTCACGGGCCCGGCCCGCCGGGGCCCGGTTGACTCACGGCATGCAGTATGACTCAGCCTGGTACGGTAGCACGGACTCGCCGGTAGCACGCCGGCCCCGCGGAGCCGTGACCTGCCAGGCTGGCCCGGCCTGCCCGGCCGCCGGGAGAGGCTGGCCCACGGTGGGCGTCAGTCAGGCTGAGCTCGGACTCGGAGCCGGAGTGAAAACCGTGTCGGTCACCCGGTGGACTGCCCGGCAGACTCTCAGCCTGGCAGAGTCAGGCCCGGCCGGAAGACTTACTGGTCACGGCGGCCGGTCTGACCGTCGGACTTTGAGTAATAACTTGAAAAGCCTAAAAGGCTTTCATGTGTGACGTTTTTTTAGTCACGTCATAATGAGCGGCACTGATGGGGGTAAATCGGTAATAATCATAATAATAATAATTGGTCTGTGATTATAAAATTAAAATTAAGCAACCCCCTTCAAATATTAGTTACTATAACAACTTTCTAGTAATAGTTTGAACACACGGACATCCCCACTGGGGTTCCTAGCGCACTGATAGGACTCGGTGCTAGCCGGGCAGTTGACAGGGGTAATTAGTACCCTGGGGGGGGGGCGGGGGATTTTAGCAGCTGCACGTGACGTGCTTGGGTCGCAAAGGGGGGGGTGTCAACTACTGGTATGGGGGAGGTGGGGGTATCCTCGGAACTCCGGGGGACATGTAGCTGGGGGTTATTTGAGAGATGAAAAGAGATCTTTTCAGAATCTCCACCACCCCGTTTAATACAGCCACTTGAAGGGGTCAGTCTGATCATTGCTGGCTAGCTGGCGATTGGGCTGGTCCGTCCAATCGCCGAAGATGGCGAAAAGGATGAAGCAGCAGCTGATGATGGTGATGATGGTGATGATGCATGCAACCTCCTCCTCCTCCTCCTCCTCCTCCTCCTCCTCCTCCTCCTCCTCCTCCTCCTCCTCCTCTCCCAATTCAGAATCTTCATCTCAGAACTCCTCTTGTCTACGGTGCAATGCCTCCCCTTTTCTCAATGGACCCCGCCTGTGCTCTTCGCCGATCCCAGCCTCTCTGTGCCCCTGCAGCAAGTCTGCATCGCTGTCAATGGCCCCAGTGTCCGGCGAGAGAGGCTGGTCTATGCGCTGGCAGCTCATGGATGTGAGCTCTCCAGCAGTGCAGCAGCTCTCCTTAGACGTAGACTTGTCATCTCTCCCTGCTCTCGTGCCGTGGGTGGTGCAAGTGCAGTTGCGTCAAGGGATGGAGGTGCTCGCAGTGAAGGAGTACCTGGTTGATGAGCATGCGTTATCTCACGGCTCAGGATGCCTTGCATTCGTCTACGAGGACGCGAGCCCTGGCACGTATGTCTTCATGGTCGTCCTGCACCGGATGGGAGGCGACGAGGTGGAGGTTGTTGCCATCGGGGATCACAGTGTGCAGGTCGTGAATGCGTCTGAGCCGGAGATGCTTATGGAGCATGCGACCGTGCAGGAGAGCGAGATGTCCATCTCCATCCGCCTGCGGGGGATGACTGGGAACAACCTCCTGCTTGTCCTCCTTGTCACCGAGGTGAACTCGCTGGCGCAGTCCAGGGAGATGCTGGTACTGCGCATCAACAGCTCCGAGCATGCGCAGGACGTGCGAGTCTCAGCTCCGGGAGGAAGCGAGTATCTGATATTGGCGACGGTCTCGGAGCTCGAGAGCCAAGTCAACAGCTCCCTCACTCCCATCCTCACAGTCCGTAAGTTCCTCAAGGTATCGAGGTGCGACAGGATCTGCGTGCTTGAGGACGATTTCTCGCGCTCGCTGCGGCAACCAGCAGACAGCAGGAGCCCCGAAGCTGCTTCCTCCCCCCGTCCCGCCAGTGCAGAGACTCGCTTCCAGCCTCATCCGGAGGAAGTGCTGTGCAACCTGATGACGAGCCTCAGTCCTGAGCATCTCGTGGCGGGGGCTCCATTCAAGGTTTGGATCAGAGCAGGAGGCCTGGTGGCTGGTGGCAGGTACAGGATCCACGTGTCCTTCAGGCACAAAGAGACGCAGGTTGTCCTCTTCCACAAGGCGGTTGTCTTTGTTGCCGATGGCTCGACAGGCTCGGGGAGAGAGGTGGAGTTCGATGTCTCGTCCGCATGGTCCGAGCAAGTGGTGATGGTTTCGGTCTTGTACGACTTCTTTGCAGAGCGCGAGAGTGAGGATACGTTGCTTGCGCAACTATCGCGCAAAGTTGAAGCCCTGCAGCCCTGCATGGTCTCATACCTGTGGACCTCCGGGCAACCTCTCTTCCAGGGTCAGGTGCCGTACCAGCGATCTCCTTTCTCCATGTCAGTCAGGGTGACCAGGAGGCTGCCCGAAGATGAGCTGGGCTTGACATTGTCAACCGTCGCCACCCTTGACAGAGCTGTTGCGCTCATCAATTCTGCGGCGCAGTGGAATGAGCACGTGGCGGTCGCCTTCTACGCCCGGAGCGTGTCAGAGCAGGAGCAGATCAAGAAGATAGTGCAGCAGACACTAGGGCCATGGTTCACTGAGAGAAACAAGACGCTAGAAGCTGCTCTCCTGACGTCTTGCCCTGACAAGGACAAACCTGGTATTCCCTTGGTGTTTCCGATCAACATGCTCAGAAAGATCTCATGTGCGATAGCTCGCACGGACTTGGTCCTGTACGCGGACGTAGACATGCTCGCGTCGGATTGGCTGGCGTCCAACATACGGCAGGCCTACCAGGACGGAAAGGTTGGGCCGACGGAGCTGCTGGTGATCCCCTCCTTCAAGTCCTCCGAGGCCTGGCCCATGGAAGCCGGCATCTCCCTAGAGCAGCAGCGGATGCGCGTCGAGCCCGTCTCGATCTCCATGGACGCTTTGCGGCTCAACTTCCAGAGGCGTCAGGTGTGGATCCCCGGACTTGTGGGGGGCATGTGGTCAACGGCTGGCAGATGGCACGAATCTGGTGTGTTCCATGCGGGTACTGAGTACGACAGGTGGATGGAGGCAGAGGAGACGTACCAGGTCAAGTACATCCTTGGCTACGAGCCCTACGTGGTGGTCAACCGGACCGCCTGGCGGGGGAGCCACGGGGTCGGGCTGTACGACGATCGCTTTGTGCATTGGGGATGGGACAAGGTTTCCTTCGGGTTGGAGGCTTGCAACCTGGGGTACACCTTCACGGTTCTCCCCAAGAGCTTCCTCGTCCATGGGTCGTCGGGGATCACCGGCGTTGAGCACTTTGTGTTTGACAAGCTCGACATCGTTGTGCATCCCCAGCAGGGGGTTGACACCAGCTGGGGACCCCCAGACACACACGGCCGGGAGCTGCTGCAAAGCCTCGTGTCAGACTACTACACAGACGTGCAGCCCCATGTGCCAATCCGCTCCTGCCTCATCAGAGCGTTTAAGGACGACAAGTGCGACAGCAGCAGCATCCACCTCGTCCAGAGCACGACGTTGGAGCTCGTGGGCAACGAGCACCTCATCCATCTTGACATCTTCGGGCTTTCGAGAGCGACTGGATACCAGGTGTCGGTGCGGGCATACAGACACACCGACAAGGGCGAGGCTGAGGAGGACGGGAGCTTCTTCCTCTTGCTGCCCGACACTCTTGTTGACGACCCTCACGGGATGTCGGTGTCAGTCGGGAGGCTCTCGCCGGGGCTTCACAGGGTACGAGTGGAGCTAAAGGATCTGCATGCGGCGAGGCTCCTGCAGGACAAGGCGATCCTTGCGTGGGATGAGCACAAGTACGAGGTACCCGACAGACACTGAGGGCCGACGATTACAGTGACTGACGTATCACAAGCAACTCGGCGTGTTATTCTTTCACTCCTCTCTCTCCTTGGCTTCATGCCTACCCGGTCTCAAAAGATTCCGTGAAGGACCGGGCATAGCACTCATTATTATTTCTTGCGATGAGCTGTATAGCATCAGGTCTAATTCTAGTAAATCCGCCACTTCTCCATCGATACTTTTAACCGTTCTCAACACGTCTCATCACACAGGGTATTCTCCATTTCCTCTTCCTCTTTACAATTTGCTTGCCGTCTTGCTTGCACCTTCGACGAGTATACACACCGACAGCAGCTCTGTACATCTTTCCTTCCTCCTTACTGCATGCTCAGCTCATTCTGCATCTCGAAAAGAGTTCGCTCCTCAGCAAACGCATCCCAGAGCGCCTGTTGACCCTCTCCATGGCAGCCGCTTCCGACGCTGAGATTCTCTATCAACTCTCGTACTCCCCTTACAAAAGCAAGACAAACCAGGAATGCAAGTTGGTCCAAAACGACGGGTCTTGTTGGAACGACTCACGCCATATCTCCCTTTCCTGTCACAATTTCCACTCACATGAGCAAGCATGCAACTCAAGTCACTCACTTCGGCGAAGTGATCCTCCTGCTGGAAGCTCCCCAAGAAATCCTTGGGGTAGATGTCATCCCTCAACGCCCACTGAAACTCCAGTCAAAATTCGTGGAATCAGCCGACAAGGGCGTGCCTGTAGCGCGAGGAACTCCCAGTTCTTCTTGCTAGTGGCGTCGGACGATAGGCTCTCCTCCAGCTCGTGATGCCCGGGATGCACATCACCAAATGCCGGCACCCTAATGCGGCGCTCAGCTTCATGCTGACTGTCAGCAGGAAGGGACGTCCTCACCTGTTCGCAGCAAGGGATACACTTGAGCGACGATGGCCAGGAACGAGAACGAGACCGGCGGCGGGGTGTCCAGTGCAGGTTGCTCGCGCCACGTTGGACCTCAAGGAAACTTGATGCTGCGGTGCAGGAGAGAAGCACAATGAACTCGGAATGGCAGCCAACATAAGCAGGAGATGAACGCTACATCTGACTTGGACCATCGGCTGAACTAATGTTCCAGCAGTAGCTGCTACAAGAATGATGTCAGGGCTCATCAGAATCATGGGGAGTAAGACTGTTGCTAGAGAGGCATTGCTGAAAGACGAAAACTGTTCAAAACAAGGGGGGCTATTGTGCTTCCCCGCTGCAATCCAATGTACTTCATACCACATAGACGTGAAAGAAGAGATGCACCAATATTTCAGGTTACACACCGCATGATTACAATACAAAAATATTGCGCAGAGAAGAAAGGTTTTCTTCTCTTGCTATCTGATATGCAGCAAGGCCAAAGCTCGTCACAAAACCGCAAACCAGGGGAAAAGCAGTCAAAACTTCAGGGGACACTACATAAACAGAGGCAAAGAGCGAGCAGGGGTACATGAAGATGTTGTGACGACTGTCATCTCTCTCTATGCTACTCGTCTCTCTGTCGCTTCTTGTCATGGGCATCACACAAGGGCGGCAACTGCAGCAAAAGGGCAGAGCCATGCCCGTCGCTGCATCACACCTAATAAGCTTGTAGTTGTGAAATATTGTACCCATCTTCGGTTCAGTGGTAGTGATAATGCTATATATTTGTTTTACATTTGTATAAAGTTTATACTTTTAAAAATAACTATTCAAGATCTGGTATGTTCCGTTGGCCCCCGAAGATTCATACAGTACAAACCTCAGGTTTTAGAGAACAAAACAAAATGATTAGCTCATGATGTTTTGATGAAGATTTATTAGCTTGAAGAAGTTTCAATTTTTCAAAAACATTTTAGTTAACCAAAATTAAAACTATTTAGTTTGATATCAGAAGGATCGATGTGCTGTACTGGTAATATTTAAAAAATATATATTGAAAATCCGATATCTTGCTACCTTGTATATAATTATGTATATTCCTTTGACTATTGTATTTCCATGAAATCTGTACCAGACCCAATTAACATTCTAGAAAAACTTGTACAAAACAAAAAATCACAGTACTGTTTTTATCTAAATTTAGAGCCGAAAGTTCTCGAAGTCGAATGGGACCATGTCGCATACCCACCCCACCCCATAGTTGAAATGCACCCTCTCCTTATCACCCTATGTCGGACTGCAATGACATGGTTGTAAGTACCGGTTCATTGACCATCCGCTACTCTTTATCACAGTACCCCACCCACTTAATTGTACCATAACCTAGCCTCTGATTTTGCAGTGAACAGGACCGGTACTGGATCCGAACTCCCTGTAGATAAAAAGCTTCCCGTTCCGATCCGTAGATCCATACTTTCACTCGCGTCCCTCGCTCGCCTCGCCCCTCGTTCCTCGCTCTAGCTTTCGTCTGAAGCACTTGTCCTCCTTCGTTGCCTGCCTCTCCTCTCCACACACCCGCATCCATGATGATGTACAGCTCCAGGACTACGTTGCTAAGCCTCGTGCTCTTTGCTTGCCTCCTCCCATCGTTCGCGACCAGCTGGGGAATCACCATGAGCCCCGCTCACTTCTTCGACCTGAACACTCGGTCGTTTCCAAACCCACGAAACATCATGAAGACTTTCGACCAGCTCGAGAGTGAGACTGACAGCATGCTCCGATCGTTCCTCGAGTATGCTGACGACATGGTGGGGACCGAGGTCGCTGAGACTGAAAATGCGACTGAAGTTGCCACCGTGAAGTCATCGGACAGACTTCGACTCCGCCCAAGGTTTGACTTGCAGGAGACCGAGGATGGGCACATCCTCACTGTGGCCACGCCCGGGCTGAGCAAGGAGGAGGTGAATGTCGACCTGGTGGAGAACGACGTGTCGCTGGGAGGACCGGTCCTGGTCATCTCGGGTCAGAGCAAGACCAAAGAGAACTCCACTAGGCCGGCCGAGCTCCCGCTCAGGTCCCACTACAAGAAGTTCGACCGTAAGATCAAGCTCCCCGCCGGCACCACCAGAGAAAGCCTCAAGGCGCACTACGAGAATGGGCTGCTGGAAGTCTTTATCAAGGACCATGGCAAGAAGGAAGTTCAGAGCCACAAGATTCCTCTCCTGTGAGATTGACGGGGGAGACTTTGCATGTGCCTGTAAGCAGCTCTCGTTGTCTGCATGTAATAAACAAGTTCACTGTTACCGCCCGCCTCCCTCCTCCCTCGGAAACTTCGGGCGCACGTTCCCCGCTTGTCTCCCCGGCGTGTTTTCACTGTACAAGCGTCTCGACCGTTGCGAGCGTCACCTCAGCCTCTGCGTTTCACCCTCATGCCTCTCAGTCTTGCGTCTTCCCGTCTCCTCCCTCCTCCACCGATCGAACTTTGAACGGATGCGTCCCGAAGGCCTTCGGGTCTCCCGTCGGGTTGACGCTGACGAGGAAGTCAGCAAGGTGCTGCGTGTGCATCCCCTGCCAGTGACCAGCCCCCCACTGCTCCTTGATCGCCTCATGGAGGGGAACGAGCTGATCGCCGAAGCCCAGCCTCTTGTCTCCCGAGTAATCCTGTGAGAAATCGTCAATTGAGAGAAAGCAGAGAGAGAGCTGTCTCCTACCTCAAGCTTGCCGTACATGAGGTGTCGGTTGTCCTCCCCTGCCGGCAACGCCCAGAATCTGTCCCCTATCAGCCCGTGATCGTCGTCCTGCTTCTCCATCTTCACGTTGTGCTCCACCGATCCCGTGTACGTCGATCTCTGCAGCTCCTTGTTGGAGAAGAGCCTCGGCACCATCTTGTCATCTCCTCCCACCAGGTGGTCCCCGAGCTTGCCTCGGTTCGCCTTGGAGAACTCGCTCTCGTCTACTGTCCCTATGAAGTCCTTCGGGGCTTCTCCGCTTGCCATGGCAGACGCAGGGACAGACGTCAGCTGCCCGCTAGCGTCCTCCTGCCTCCTCCCGTATCGGTATGGCACGTCGGGGTTGGTATACTTCCACTCGCTCCCATACATGGTCCGCATGTTCTCCTCCGACGCCGGGTCAAGATGAGCAAAGTGATCGTGATATGTGATCCCGCTCGTCTCCTTGTCGTGCGATGCTGCATCCTCATACCTGACAAGATCATCTCTAGCGAACCTTTCCTGGCGCTGGGGCATAGGAGGACTATCGGACAAGACAGGCTGCGAGGCCGACGATGAGGAGGAGGAGGAGGAGGAGGCTGCCTTTGACTGAACGTTGGCGGGGAGGGCCTTCTTTACAATGGCACCAACAGTGTCCTTGAGTACGGCTGACAGAGCAGATTTGTATCCCTCTGACTCCCCTCGTTGGACTTCCAGGGAAGTTTTCATCTGCTCGATCTCGTGCTTAAGGGGCTCCACTGTCTTGTCCACCTCGGATGCGATCGCCGACTTCATCTGCCTCTCGAATCCTGTCAGAGCCGAACGCAAATCAGCAGCTGAGTTGGCTCGAGGAGTTGGATGGTGAGGAGGTTGAGCCTTTGCGATCTGCTTCTGCTCGTGATGAACGGTTGGCCGTTTCACTTGATGCGCTATGGCCGGCTGCCTCACTTCCCCGCCCGATGTCTTAGCGGCAGCGACTGCGCGGTCGAAGGGAGGGCGAACAATCAAGGAATGAGCTTTGACCTTCACTGCTTCTGACTGCATGACTTTCTTCGCCTGCTGTTCTTGGAAACGTTTCGCTTTCAACATCCTCCTGTGAGACTTCCGCACCCTCGAAGCCGCTCGCTTCACTTGCAACTTCTCCTGCTCTAAGATGCTGTCGAGGTTCTGCTTTGCGTTGTTGGTATTGTGGTTCGATGAATGCTTCGAGAGTTGAGCAGGAGCAACCTGGATCGTCAAGAATGAGAACTTTAGGAAGACGGAGGAAAGCTAGAGATCGATTCACCTCCTTGTGCGTCTTCAACCTCGATGCCTCATGCAGATACTTCTCGGTCAACTGCTTATTGCGGGCAGCCTCCTTCTCCAGCTCCGATTTCTCATCTTCCATCTTCTGCAGGGAATGGGCGACCTGGGACGTTATTGTGAGGAATGGGCAGCTAGCACAAGAGGAGCAGCCTCACGTGAAGGGCCTGTGAGTCAAACGAAGAATCAGCAAGGAGGTTTGCAATAGCCTTGTGGATCGTCATTGACTTGAGCGAAGATTCCAACGAACTCCTTGATCAAATCGATCACCAAGAAGGATGGGGTAGCAAGCTAACACTCACTTGGCCATGTCTCTTGCTTCAATTATCTTCTTCGACTCTGCAACATCCTTCTTTCTTTGCTGTTCGCTACAATGAGCTGATTCTCACTAACAGATGTCAAGTTTACCTCCTTGAGTTTCTCCACTTTACGGCGAATCTCGGCAGCTTTCTTCAGGGTGTCTCGTTTCTTCTCACTATCCATGCGGTCCTTCTTAGAACCAGCCAGAAAGGTCTTGGCATCCTTCAGCGCCTGTTGCTCCCTGCTGAGAGCAGCCTGCTCAATCATGAGCGCCTCGTTCGATCTCACTTGCTTCATCTCGGCTTGAGCAGATTTCTTCTGTTCCTCTGCCTCCTTGGTGAGAGCTTCTTGCTGCTGCAGTTCGTTCTCTAGGGAGCCAAGGAGAGGGTCTTGCTGCACTTGCGCAAGAGACGAAAGCCGAGCTTTCTGCTCCGGTGCCACTCGTCGACCCTTATCAAGGTTCTCTGCTCCAGCCTTGGAGTGGTCCACCTTAACCATCCTCCCTCCATTCCTTGCGATGGCCTTGGTGTAGAGGTCCGGGAAAGCATCTTTCAGCCTATCCAGCCCACTGATCTGAGGAGGATCTTTCACCAGTTTGCTCTCCTTCTCGCCGGATCCTTCAGACTGAGCCATCCTCCTGGCTCTATCGAAACTTCCGCCGTTCCTCTTCATTGCCTTCTCGTAGAGGTCTGGGTCCTTGGCAGCTAGGTTGAGCAGCCCGTTCCCTAGAGCCTCCTGCCCTTGCCCAAGGAATCGCTTCCCTGCCATGTCCTCGCACTTCGGGGAATCAGGGGCACACCAGCTGGCAGGCACCTTGCCAAACTTAGAGATCATGTAGTGCGCCCTCCTTGCCGAGGCCTGGTGACCCGCATCGAACCTGGAGTCCTGCCAACATCCAGTTACAGGAAGCACGTCAAGACAGCTCGGGTTCATTACCAGCCCAGCCAGAAGCCTGTCATCTTCCTCGAGCTGCTTCATCAAGATCGCATCTCCCGCCGAGCTCGACAAGAGTTCAATCCGAGGAACTTTGCCATACCCCATGTACAACAAACAGCATGTCGAAGCCAACATGACCAACAGTGAGCTCCTCAATGGCATGGTCATCTGCAGCAAGGTGTATCAGATACTGATTTTACAGCTTCTTGACCAAGCCATGTTCATATCATAACGGCAAAGCTACGTGAATCCTTCCATTCACAAGAAACTCTTAGCCAATCACATCCATTGGCAAAACGTTCTCCTGTCTTGTCAGGCTCTCTCCATAGGCCGTGCACTAATCTGACTTGCTCCCTACCACACGGACGTCGCTCTCATCCTCCCTTTCCTCACTCTCCTGAGTCCCTCCCCCCCTCTCCCTCCCTCCCTCCCTCCCTTCCTCCCTCCTGCTCATGTTTCTCTTCCTCTGCCTCTCCTTCAAGTACTTGTCGCAAGATGTATGCATCACGACGAAGAGACACGAGGTCTCATACAGCCCGCATTTCCCAGTACAGCCGGTGGCACTTTCGGCCGGGCCGCAGCGCGGCGGCGCGGGGCCGCGCCCCGGGGCCCGGGGCGCCGCGACTCTGTGTGACTCGCCGTGACTGGCCCGGCGGGCCATCAGTTTACTCAAAGTTAAGTTACAAATCAGTACGAGCCCACAGCCATGGTGCTGCCACGTGACTGAGCCGGCGGCCCGGCCGCCCGGCGGGCGCCGGGCCCGGCGTACTAGGCCGCTGACTCAGTGACAGTGAGTCGGACGGTCCGGACTGCCCCGCCCGACTCTTACCACGCCGTTCCGAGCCGGCGGCGCGGCGGCCGGACCGAGCAACGGCCGCGGCGGGTTCCGACGACCGTACGGTTAACGATTCAGCCTGCCACGGCTACAGGCCCTTCTGAACTTGGAGTTCCGAGTTCCGTGGCAGCCTTCGGCTGGCCGCCGGGCGGCCGGGGCTGCCTCCGGGGGCTGCCTCCGCCGGATCGGCCCGCCGGATCATCGGCGCCGGAGAGTGGCACAGTGAGTCACAAGAGTCACCCCGCCTGAGCCTCGGAGGCACTGATGCCAACTCTTACGTTCATGACAGTCATGCTCCCGGCGAATTCACGGTGACGGTGACGGTGAATTTGAACTCTTCTTGGGTGCCAGGTCCTCATTGAAACATTTGTTTAGAAAGAGAAACGTTGGTGCGGCTTGTGTCATTCCTCCACTGACTCCTTCTCCTCCCACCCCGCCCTCTTTCTTCTCCTCCTTCTCTGCCGGGGCCTCTCCCTCTCCCTCTCCCTCTCCCTCTCGCTGTCCGAGTCCCTCTCGCTGTCCCTCTCCCTCTCCCTCTCGCTGTCCCTCTCGCTCTCGCTCTCGCTCTCGCTCTCGAGGGCCTCTCGCTCTCGCTCTCGCTCTCGCTCTCGCTCTCGCTCTCGCTCTAGCTCTCGCTCTCGCTCTCGCTCTCCCTATCGCTCTCGCTCTCGCTCTCGCTCTCGCTCTCGCTCTCGCTCTCGCTCTCGCTCTCGCTCTCGCTCTCGCTCTCCCTCTCGCTCTCGCTCTCGCTCTCCCTCTCGCTCTCGCTCTCGCTCTCCCTCTCCCTCTCGCTCTCGCTCTCG